TTCTTTTTAAATGTCAAATTAAGCAAAGTATTTGATTAATTGGTGTTTCTAATGAATTATCATGTATTCTTAATCATATCATTATGTTCTTATTGCATATGTGTTTTAACCAATCATAAATGTCCATGTATGTACAGTCTGGATAAACAAAAACAGACTTTTTGACCTTTATTGATCAGCCACTCATAGGAATTCTGCTTGTATTTCTCTTCTAATTTAGCTAATTATGAATTAATAATGGACATGTGAGACAAACTGGTATTTTTCCAAGTCAATAGGACACCTATACTTTCTATTTATATAAAGGTGCAGACACGCGAGCTGTCTTGGTTGGAAACATTTTGTCGCCGATTACAGTCTTGTCTTGAGTTTCAACGACTGACACGGGCACACGAGGAGACAAAAATCTTCAGTCGGTTGTTTTTCACTTTCACGTGTGGAGCATGCAATTGAAAGGAAACTGAATCTGATTGGCTGATGGCAGTCTGTCTTGCAGACAATAAAACTATCGGAGACAATTATCAAACTTGTTTGATATTATAAATCCTGTCGGCGACACGATAATCTTGTCGTGGAAAAATCTCTGACCAAAACCTTGTGCTTGTGTGCCTGCACCTTTAGTATTAGCATTTTCATTTTCATTATTGGAAATAAGGAAACCCATCTTTAAAATGTTCTCATAAGCAAAAGCAGTCTATGTCATCGTGATAACCACTCCCAAAAGCCTAAGAATATGATGTTTTGTGGACGTATGCAATATTGCATCCCCCTATGCCCCAATCCCTTTAGAATGGATTCCAAAATAATTTGGCAGTGGCTCCCTCCAGTTCTCCCAGCTGACACTGCCTTAATACTTACCGGTTTTATGCCTGAGAGTATACCAATATAACCAGCAAAATTAACAGATTTAAACACTGTTATACCAGACCTTGTATATCTTAGGTTAATTATAGCTGGTTTTAATACTTCAGTTATAGCCCACGTCTTATTCTTTATATCCCATCTTTAATACATAACTTTTCATACTTATTTTTTAATTGTCTTTTGGTTTCTTTTTTTTTGTATCTACATTGATGCTAATGATGTCAACAATACTTGTTAATTCGACATTAGCCCCAAAATTTTCAGACTTCTTGTTGCTATGCAAAGCCCATATTAAAAAAATACAAAAGGCTGAGATAGTTTCAGCTGACATTTAATTATTTCCAAACAAAAGATATTAGATTAACACTTACCCAATGAAAAGTCCAAAATCTAAATTTCTAGCATGGAAAAGTTTTCCTGTAAATTAAAAAAAAAATTTACAAAAAATACGAAAAGAAAAGTCTAACACAAAAAAGACTAATGTTCCTGTCTATGGTAGATTGGATCACCTTTCATCAACTCCCTGAAACAATTACATTGCATATCGAATTGTTCCCTTATCTTGTAAATCTCTCCAAAAGCAATTCATTTCTTATCAAATTGATTTTTTCTAATGCTTATATAATATCTACTCGTGACCTAGGCCAGTGCTGCTATAGGTGATTCGAACAATTCAAAATTCAGTTCTATTAACCCATCAAATTACTGTATTTTTTTAATCTGTATTTTATCTTATTCAAGTTTTTGAGAAATAGGTGCAAGATTTTTCGTTAGAATTATTACCTGCAGAATCTTGGGCTACTATTGATGTACATACAGTAAATACCTCATAGAAAATATTATATAAAACAATTTCACCTGATATAAAAAGAAACAGAATAGTTGTGATGGATTTAAAACAAACGAATAATTAAAAGAAAACTTTGTAAAATATTTCATATAATTGTAAGCCATAATGATAGACTTCTTTATGTGGGGTTTGGTCTTTCCTTTTCGCACCTTCGACCATCAGCAATCCATTACAAAATGGCTGATCGTCAACCTCTGGTGAAAATCCAAATTTTTGTCATTGTCTTTAATATGTTCCCCCAGTTTGGAAGCTCTTTTCAAACTGGGGGAACACATTTAAGAGAAATGGGTTCTCTTATTTTCATTTATGACAATGAAAATGCTAATACATAATTATATGAATATAAAGTAAAGGTCTTCTAATGACTTGGAAAAATACCAGTTTGACTCACATGTCTATAATTAATTCATAATTAGCTAAATTAGAAGAGAATTACCAGCAGAATTCCAATGAGGTCAAAAAGTATTTTTTTGTTCATCCAGACTGTACATACATAGATATTTATGATTGGTTAAAACTCTTAATTATATACAATAAGAACATAATGATATGATTAAGTAAGAATACATGATAATTCATTAGAAACACCAATTAATCAAAATAGTTTGCTGAATTTGAAACTGAGAAATAAGGAAACCCAACATTAAGGGTATCAAACTGCTCCACAGTGAAGTCACTTCTCTTGATAACACTGCCTGTATAAGCATGTGAAACGTTGAGTTAATAAATGTCGGAAATAGTATATCCATATATCTTGTGCTTCGTTATAAATATACTGAATGTACAACTAAAGGTGCACTCACAGCATAGTGATTACCAGTTAGATATGGTTGCAAATAAAGTCTTGAGTACTGAACTTAAGACCTCTATTCTTACTTGTAACCATAATCAACTGGTGATCACAATTGTGTGAAAGCCCTTTAAGAGATCATCTTACCTAGATTCATGTTAGAGTATTTGGCCATTCCCATAATTTCACCTCTGAATGGACCAGGTATTGTGTCATCAAACTGACCCTAAAAGAATTCATACATACATTGGAATGAGTTGCAAACAGCTAAAAACATGTTTAAAAATGGGTTCCCTTGTTTTGACTTATATCTTGCAATCAATAGACAACTAAAGCAACCCTTTAATAATCCTAAATGACTTACAAATTTTGTATCAACAAGTTTAATAAGTTCTTCTGCATCTTTGCCCCAGTCTGCCACAAACTCTTTGAATCTACTCAACACTTTTCTGATTTGAGGAGCCTTTGCTTGGGCAACCTCCTTCCATCTTTCTTCAGGTGGTAAATCCAAGTTTACTATATATTCTTTATCTATGTGAAGGCTGAAAGGCATAAATCAAAATGGAGTTTCCTGTCCTACTTCCTGTGACTGATGTGATTAACAGAAAACTACAAAGTCATACTTCCTCAAGTGAAAAGTTTGTTAGCTGTTACTAATGTTTTGCCAGTATATTGTTTTGTTTTGCAGTTCAGATTGGTAGCGTAACTTTTACACAGGCCGTTTGGGGATCTTAGGGGACACACATTGTAGCACACAAGGCCTTGGTTTATTGTCCTATCCAAACAACTAGATACTTTTTCCATGTCAGTCCCTTTTTAACCTGCATCACTGCCACGGAGATACCATGCTGAATATACAGATCAACCTATAAGGAGACTGAACCTGGGCCCCCTAGGATATCATTGCACAATAGTCGACCCCTGTGAGCAGCCTGGCAGACAGCAGACATGTAGAAAAAAGTTGTGAGTTAAAGGGATTGTAAAAAGGTTTTCTAAACTTTTTATGTGTATCTGGACACTGATAGCATCAATTTGCACCATTCCAATTTTCATTCTTGCAATTCCACTAAAACATTATTATGAAGTCACTAGAGGGGAACTGCATAGATACCAATAGTAACTTCCGGTAGTTCCTCTCTAGTGACCTCATAAAACGCGTTATTTTTAGTGGAATTACAATGACCAAAGACGTCAGAATGAAAATTGTAATGGTGCAAATTGAAGCTATCAGTGTCCCCGATACACATATAATATTTAGAAAAACCTCTTTACAATCTCCCTGCAGATAATACATTTAGAGGTTACCAGACACAGTTAAGTTATATTTTCTCCACTGTTCCTGTTAACAAGTACTATTATCTTCCACATAGGTTCCCTTCAGCACATAACAAACCAACAATAAACTATAATAACTGATCATAACAAGAATATACTTCTATGATACATAACATACCCACAATAATCTATAATAACTGATCAAAGCAAGAATATACTTCTATGATACATAACATACCCACAATAAACTATAATAACTGATAGTGAAATATTTTGATTATCAATCGATTATTGATCAGTAACCTGCCATCGATAATCGATCTCAATTTGGTGATCGATACCCAGCCCTATTTATTATTTTCAATATATGTAAATTTTTTCATGCAAGATTCTAGTTTAGGTATATTGGAAGGGATTATGTGATTTTTATGCGTTTTAGTAATTTTAAGGCTATTAAAGCACAAAAAACAGAAGAGAAAGATACCTAGTTCAACTGCTAATTCAATACAAAAACACAAACCTTTCTGGTGGTGGATAGGCATCTTTTACACAGGTCTCCTTGAACTATAATATAAAAATATAGTTTAAATATTACATCTATTAACTGATTTCATCACTTGTACCACCCTTTTTATGTGTGTATATATATTAGGCCTTACTCTCTGACTACAATGATTTCTGTATGAATTGAACAAAATACTTCTGAGAGTCTTAGACTGTCTTTGGGTTGATGAAAATGTCAACCACTGGACAAGTTATCTTTTGTAAACATGATTTTACAGAGGGAATTTTCAGTCCGAAAAGAAAGGGCATTTTCAAGTGAATTTTCTGGGAGAGAAGTGTGTCTATTTTAAAAGTAAAAATACTGAAAATTATATTTCTATAGACCTGAAGATATTCTAAAACCAATGGTATACAGTTGAAAATTTTATTTTAGATATTTATTAAATTAGTTAAAATGTAGTCAGACAGTACAAAATCAATAGTTCGCCAAACTCTTTAATCATGGACTATAATATCTACATTAGCGTTGGCCCAGATGTTTGCCAAGACCGAAACATCTGTCTCTTATTCCAGCCTCTGATAGCTATTTGGACAGATGTCAGCTGGTGTACAGACAGAAAAAAAAGACCCTGTTAAATGGGGACTTTCCTCATCTCCACAGGTGTGGGGGTTTAAAACCTATTTAGAAACCTCGGATCTGCAAAGATGAATATTTTTGTAGTTCAGTCATACAATCATTTTTCTCTCTACACCATTTATGTCATGTATCTGGTTCTATCAAAGTTTTTTTTGGCGAAACAGATATAGCATCGGCCATTTATAACTGCGTGCGCAGCCAAAAGTTCAAAGGTCACAGAGTCATGTGATAGTAACAAAATGAAATTTACGGTGGTGCCCAACACTAATTTACAATCATCTTAAATGTAATTCAATATTATGTTAGAGAAAGCGAATCTTAGGAGGTGTGGAAAATCCCCGTTTAACAGGTTCTTTTTCTTCTGACTCTACTCCAGCTGACAACTTTCAAAATATCCCTCAGAGGCTGGAACAGAGGCAGACGTTTCAGACTAGTGTTTGTCATGCAACTATCAGTTACTTTTATTGTATCTAAATTGAAAAATTTGTGAATTTCTAGAGGAGAGGAAGTGTTCGGAGAAAAAATAGAAGTCATTCTCTACTTACAGGAGGCACTTGCCCAAAGCAGAAATACAAACACAGTAAAAACGTTGTCACTTTCCAGAATGTATCCATTTTGATAATAATTGATCTACATTTGAATAATTAATCGATAAAAGACGATAACATATTAATCATGGCTCATATGACAATTATTTGGCAGAATTTTTGACTTCCTGTAAAACGAAAGTAGTAGATTGTAGACTTTGTTATCAAGTCAATCTATCATAAAAATTTAATTTGTGGAAAGAAACTGGATATTCGAAGCAGAATATAGTTTTGTTTACCTACCCAATGATTGGTCCACAGTAACCACGTGACTTATCATTCACAGAAATTTACACATACACCGAATAAAGAAGTCCAAACGTGTGTTGTGTGCAGTTTCACTTAGATTGTTTTCTATTCAGCTGACAGTTGGCCAACTTCCCAATAAAATACCAACAATGGCGCAGGTATGCTTGTTTTATGTTAGCCTTCATGTTATAGACATAAATTTGTTTTCCTACAATATTGAGAGATTCTGCATTTTTTTATTTATATTTTTGTCATAATAGGGAACAAGTGGTACATTCCGTTCGGACGGGTATATTTCATATTTTGCTTTTAAAGTGATTCTACGTCTTAGAATAAGCATAAAATTTAAAAATTTTAAACTTGGCCAATAAGAACATATATTTATCAGTATATATACCTGGTGTCATAAATAACATAACAGGATCCTTATATAATCCAATAAATCCAAAAACTTAATAAAAATGCAATTAATATTAAGATTAAGCATTTTTCAATAATTACTTAGTTTTATGAATTTTCCAATTTTACAGATTTTACAGGTATTCTGTTGTAACTTTATGACACCAGGTATATGTTCTGAAAAATATATACTCATTGACCATTCTTGAGAATTAAATTTTATGTACATTCTAAGACATAGTATCACTTTAATTCAATTGTCATCAGTTTAAATTTAAGCAAATTTTAGTGGGATGGTAAAGCACATATAGTTTTGTTAGAAATGACAAGAGAATTCTTTTTTTTTTAAATATTTCTGGACATAATGAATTAGGTTTCTTTTTTTTTTCCATAATGATTTAGGTTTAAAATAAATTCATGACACTATGTTCATAGATAAAAAAGCCACTACAGGTAGGAGTGTGAACAAACAATGTCAGTGATATGTTACATGTGAACTAGGTTATGTCAATAAACATCTACTGTGAACAACCAATGTCAAATATATTTAAAGAAGTCTAAATCTATCTCTGTCTCTGTCTTCAGGGCACTTCAAAACAAATGCAGATATCACATGTTTAAAACATGTTGGTTTTACAATGTCCTGGGTAACAAAATATGAAAGTATAGTTTTACATATATTTTTTGATTCTTAATTAGAAGGGAGCCGCGGTGGCTCAGTGAGTTAGACGCTTGCTCGCTAACCTGAAGGTCCAGGGTTAAATCCCACCATAGGTCGAGATAATACCTTCGGATTTTTCAACCCGGTTTCCCCGTGTCAGTGATGCAGGTAAGAGGGGCTGACATGGAAAGAGCGTCTAGTCGTTCGGATGGGAAAATAAACTGAGGCCCCGTGTGCTACAGGCTGTGCACGTTGAAGATCCCTCGACAGTTGGAAATCGAAAAAGAGCAGGCTAATGCCGCTGTCCTGGCAAAATTTCCTCCATCCCACCCTGCATGGCCATGCCCAACCTTTTTTAGCCCACATGGTGCAGGAAAGTAGGACGTAAAACCCCATGCATTTCATTTTATAATTGGTATGTTATGTTGCTTTCTTCATACAAAACTACATGTAGGCTATTTATTGTACTAAGATTTGATACTGAAGGTTATTATTGTGTGTAGAAAATATATCAAAACAGGACAAGAGAAAAAATCTTGTGCTTAAAACTTTGTCATAGATAATTATAGTGGTACAAACTTCACCATCCCACAAGGAAGTTATAAAATAAGAAGATTATGTTAAAGGATTTAATATTTCTATAAGGATTTAAATAGTAATTAATATAAGACCTTCTTGATGTATTAAATACCTGTAAACTGTTAAAAATGTTTTATATATTGCTGAAGGCTTTATGTTACGAGTTATTGCCCTTGATATGATGTATTGTAGTGAAACTAATATGGTTGAATTGCCCTTCACATAGTTATCGCTTTTGTCCTTGTATATCAAGATCCATTGTGTCCAAACCACACCCTCATTCGTCATAATTCTTCCAGGCCATGGTAACACAAGAATTATGTATTCATAGTTAAATATTGTCCAATCAAAGTTGGTCCTACTATATTGGTAGCAAAATTCAGCTAATCAAAACAAATCACTCGTTATGACGCTTTGTTTGCGAACGTAAGCTTAAACAAAATGAAAGCAGTGTGCAGAATTGAATCACTTGCCAAAGTGGATTTATTCCACGACTCTTGACAGTTTTTTGCCTATACTGATCAATATTAAATATGGGAATTTTAAATTTCAGGTTCATGAATTCAAAATGGAGATGACTTGTGAAGGATGTGCAGGGGCTGCCCAGAGAGTTTTGGGAAAGTTAGGTAGGTTAAAATCTTTGAGTGAAAACCTACACAGGATAGCCTTACATTATAAAACTTGGAGAGGCGGGAGGGACAGGGCAGGTTGTCTCTGCAATCTCTGCAAGTTAAACATTTGCTTGATGACCCAGCGGTTATAATGATCATCTATCCGTTGCTCTCACAATTCCATATTCTCGTCATTAATTTTGATTGATAGAGAGTGTACTTCTCTACCAATTATATTCATTCAAACAACATTCCGCTGGAAAATGTTTGAATAACCAGACGCAAAAAATTTACTTTCTTTAAATCTCTAAAGGAACATATCTTGACATAGACTGTACCTTTGTCTTGTTTTTTAACCTTGTTTAAAAATAACGTTGTTTAAGTGAAACAAATACCACCTTGCTTGCTACTGGCCATGCCATTCCTTGCAGTCAGTTCAAAAGAGCAGGGTACAGTTATGCTGCTATGCAAAACAAATATCTTTCAATGGACAATGGATGGTTTGGCTCATCTTAATCAGCTTAATTTGAGTGTATTTTTGGCTTAGGTTACAGTGGCCAAATTGTCTCTTATTTTGATTCTTCCATTTTCAGAGGGAGTCGAAAAAGTTGAAACTAGTGTTGAAAAACAGCAAGTTTTAGTCACTTCAGCCTTACCCAAGGATACTCTTTTAGAAACATTACAGAAAACAGGGAAGACTTGTTCTTATGTTGGTACTCAATAATCATCTTCTATTGTCTATCTATTCCACTATTGTCATTGTAAGTATATACTATTACATCCTTTATGTGGCACGTGTCCATTGGTCTTATCACATCCTCATCACTCCCTAAAACAGTTTTGATAATGATATAAGCTTAACTAATATAAAAAAGTAAGGTCGTACAAAGGATGAACGTCCAGGTCAAGGTCAAATTTTTCGGGTCTGTCATGTTTTCATGAAACATTTTCTGTCCTCAGCCAATCAACATACAATATCTCATCACGTGAAAAAAATTGTTTTGGAACCTTAAAGAAGCATAATGTCCATTGTGTGGGGCTAATGACAACATCGTGGGTGACCGCCATATTTGGTCATTTGGACATTTTGGTACCGTCTCCAAAGTTGTAGAAGTTGTTTCAAAAGGATTTATGTCATTTGCAAGTTTGGGTTTTCAACAGTGAAGACCTTATATTCTCAGTTTGGTTGCTGATATGAGTCTTACTCTCAAAGCTTTCTTTGCTATACTTTCAGATTGTACAATTTTTATCGTGTATGGAACGCTTGTAATCAATTATTGCCAAAGCAAAGAAAAAAGACCAAAAAGATGATAAGCAATTTTAATGAACCCGATATTCAATTTGCAATCTGAGATATTATTATCATTTGATGCAAAACTGTTTTTTTTTTATTAATTAATCATGATATTGGTTTAAATATTTTCTTAACTTTTTGTCATAATATTAAAGCTGGATCTGAAAATTAGCCTGCTCTTTTTCGATTTCCAACTATCGATCTTTAACGTGCACAGCCTATAGCACACAGGGCCTGAGTTTATTGTCCCATCCGACTAGACGCTTTTTCCATGTCAGCCCCTCTTACCTGCATCACTGACAGGGCGAAAACCGAAGGTATTATCTCGACCTACGCCAGGATTGAACCCTGGACCTTCAGGTTAGCGAGCAAGCGTCTAACTCACTGAGCCACCGCAGCTCCCCTGGACTCGGTGGAAAGGAGATATATGCATCAATAGGAGAGGTCAATATATAATGTTGGCATAGTAGTTATTTTTCGGGCAGAAGGAAATGAAACTTGTTGCTAGAAATTTGAATTGATATGAAAGTAATGAAGAGTAAGTTTTTAATATTTGGAATGAAAACATGAACAAAGTAAGCTCATTGAACAGTTGCGAGAAGTCAACAGAGAAAATATTCTGCATTGACTAGTGATTTTAGTATGTGTTATACAACTACAAAAATTAAAACCAAATTGGAATAGATATTCCCACACATGGTAATGGTGGATGATTTTTGTCACTGACTAAAATCTTGTCAAGAAAAGACAAAAATCTCCAGGCAGTCGTTTTCCACCATTTCAATAATTACATTCGGAGCATGCAATTGAAAGGGAAATGAATCTATTTCTTTTGTCTGTTGTGCAGACGATAAAACTATCAGAGAGAATTATCAAACTAGTTTGATATTTTAACGTAATCATCTTGTCGTGAAAGCAAGGGTACGCCCGAGATTCGAGTCAGAGACAAAAAATGCCATCCAAGACCGTTCCAGTTCTTCCTTTAAGTGACTGACACTCATTGAAGATTATCTGTTGCAGGAGGTTTCTGTGTCAAAGACACATAGTAGCTTGTGGACAAACAAATGAACACAGTTAATATGCAATAGTTTATTGAAAGACATGGCATTTACAATAAGCTGTTCTGTCTGCACAAAACTTGGAATGAGACATACATGAACCCAACATAAAAATAACCAAACTGGAAACAATACTTGAAGCAATGATTTGCTAAGCATTCCAATATTTTAACAATACACCTCATATTGCAATACATATTAGAAAATCAATGAAATAACACTAGAGTTTCAGTACACAAACACATAATATAAAAATAAATTGAAATAGACTGACATTTCTTATCTCTCTAATGACTTTCAAATTTTTACTCCACATGGTTCAATTTAAGCAATATTGAATTGCAGAGTGCAAGTTTAAAGGTGGGTTTCCTTAGTTTTAGTGTCAAAATAAGCAAACTATTTGATTAATTGGTGTTTCTTATGAATTAACATGTATTCTTAATCATATCATTATGTTCTTGTTGCATATAATTATTTTTAACCAATCATAAATGTCCAAGTCTGGATAAAAAACAAAAAATGTCTTTTTGACCTCATTGGAATTTTGCTGGTAATTCTCTTCTAATTTAAGTAATTATTCATTAATTATAGACATGTGAGACAAACTGGTATTTTTCTAGTCATTAGGACACCTCTACTTTCTATTCATAACAGTATTAACATTTTCATAAATGAAAATAAATTTTTAAAATAATCCCTTTTGCGAGACAATATTTTCTATCATTAGCCAAAATCTATCACAACGATCTGCAAATCAAATTGTATATCATTAGTGAGAATTGTTTGCCAAATGTAGAAACATGCAGTAACTTTTGGAATTCATAAAACCTTTCTGGAACTAACGTCAGTGGAAAAACCCATCTAAAATCTACAAATGGAATTTTTATCAAAATTTAACTTGATTAATCATAACTGAAATTTGGTGTGATAAATTGCCCATAAATTTTTTCAATCTAATTTGAACCCTACCTCTATAGTAGCTGGATTTATTAGAACCAGAATTTCTATTGGTTATATTCATATGGTCAGAATTAGACATAAGAAACTCATCAAAATATTACCCCCAGCAGCACCAAAGACAGGCGGGCAGAGCATTACTACATTACAATTATTACAATCTACCAAATCATAGTGTTTCATTCGAGATCTATCAGTTATGTGGCTTTTATTAAACAACATTACTCAAATATAAATCAAGCTTTTAAACATTTTCACAGCTGATCAGTCAGACACAAAGAACTTTTTGGTCCATAAAAAATATAGAATTTTTTCTATGATTCAGAATATGCTACAATCATTATTTTCATTTTGAAAAAATGGAAGCAAGTTTTCTAATTTACTCTTCGAAATGTACGAAAACAAGGTAAAAATTTAAAATATACTCCTTTAATCCAAAATAATTCTTTTACTAATTCTAAAATCTGGAGACATTATCAAATGCGACAAATTTTCAGCAAAAATCTCGTTCATTTAAACTATGTGTTCTTGTGAAAAGATAATGGACAACAGCCATATATGCCCACCACGGCATGCAGATGGTAAATATTCTAGATTTTGGGGCAAGGGCAATAACTCTGCTTCTAACGGTCGAAAATAGCTGAAATTTGAACTTGATCTTCGTTTTATGAACATGTGTACACATACCGAATTTCGTTTGATTCCATCAAAAAATCTAGTTTTTAGAGCGTTTACAAGCAAATGTTGACCGACGGACAGACAGGGGTGCCTACAATATACCTCCACATAAAGAGATGTGGGCGTATAAAAATTATCTATTCTTGAGAAAGATATCCTAGAAAAAAATGCCGAATTGAATTTAAGATACAATTAAAAGACATTAATTACAAAGTATATAAAAGCTTACACAAAAACATCTACCTTTTTGGAATGATTTTGATCGCAGTATATAAGTTAAAACAAAATTTTTTCACCTGTTTACTCCCTTTTACCAGTTTTCAATGTCAATTATTAGTATTGAAAATTTGATTTTGTGTTTGTCTGTAATTAAATTGTCAATGATCCAAATTATTCCTGCTTTAAAACAAGCTTGACAACACAATAAGAAAGATCCCTTAAAATGTTACAATATAAAAACACATTTACACAAGTTCACAACACATTATAAAGTGTAAGGCAGGGGATATTTGGCAAGCACAGTTCATTGTTATGAAAAAAGGATTAAAGAGATCTATGGAAATCCAACAAGCCACCAAATCTTCGCAATGTCAAGCTATGACGTCTGTCTTATACCTTGAATGAAATTGCCACCTATCTTGTATAAACAGTAAACATTATTGAACTCTGATTGGATGTATTTGCTAATGTACAAGCCAATCAAATTGCAGCTTTTTTTACTAACTTTCGTGATACACGAAAGGTGACTATTGCAGTCAAAGTATAAGACACAGATTTTAATAGCTTGATAATATGAAGATACAATCACAATCCTCAGTAGATAAAAGAATTATCATCTCAATTGAAATATCTACAAGAACTTCTCTCCAACATATTAAGTACAGAAATCACAAAATTCTCCCTAAGCCTACATTTGATGGTAAATCAAATAAACCAATGTTCAAAGTCCATCATTTTTGCCACAAAGTCCATAAATTAAGCGCATAAGGAAAAGCCAAACGAATCAGGCCCTACCCATTTCTTTGACATAAACAGATGGTATACAGATGTGATATTGTCATGGTTTGGGCAAGACTCAAAAGTTCACATTTTGATAGAGTTGCTCCGATCCATTTTTGGATCTAAAACTAGTGACTCGAGAAAATGTGACCTTTTGAGTCTGTCCTTACCGTGCCAATATCACGTCAAAGAAATGGGGATGGCCTGATTGGTCAGTCTGACAAGTTATAATTGTATAACTAAACACAATATCGTGCTCATGTATAACGCACTATTTAAAATGGACACAATTACAGAAACTGTGAAGATTGTGTTTCAACTCTGTATGAAAGCAAAGCATCCAACGAGATATAGTACACAAAGTTCACTGTGCCCCTTTATTCACTATAGTCAGACAAAGATATTGGAGCACATCCTGGTACTTTTTCACACAATTTTTATGAACATTGTCTTATACCTTGACTGCAATAGTCACCTTTCAAGTTTCACAGAATGCAACGATTTGATTGGATTTTAGCTAGCGAATACAGCCAATCAGAGACTTTGACAGAAAGAGTGTAATCATTATGATTTATTGTTTACAGACTTTCAATCATGGGCTCTGATTGGTTGTTTTGCTAACACAATAAAATCCTTGCAAATTTGCTTGTGCAAGGATGATGGCTACTGCAGTCAAGTAAAACACAAAGTTCAAAATAGCTTGACATTGTAAAGAATACCCTGGTTTGATACAAAACATGGACAGTCTACTTTTTACATTAAGGTAATATACATAGTAATGAACACAATTCAGCCATATTTCTATTGTTTGACTTACAATTTATTCCATCTTTAAAGATGGGTTTCCTTATTTTTAGTGTCAAATTAAGCAAAGTAATTGATTAATTAGTGTTCTAATGAATAATCATGTATTCTTAATCATATCATAATGTTCTTATTGCATATAATTAAGAGTTTTAACCAATCATAAATGTCCATGTATGTACAGTCTGGAAAAAATAAAGACATTTTGACCTTTCTTGATCGGTGTCTCATTGGAATTTTGCTGGAAATTCTCTTCTAATTTAGTTAATTATGAATTAATTATGGACATGTAAGACAAACTGGTATTTTTCCAAGTCATTAGAACACTCTACTTTCTATTCATATAAGTATGAGCATTTTCATTTTCATAAATGAAAAAAAGGTAACCTATCTTTAAAAAAGTAGACTGCCCTTATTTTTGTTTTGAATATCCCTATAAATAACTTGAAAAAACTTTTTAGTCCAGCAATTATATATTTCACATGTAAATGTGCCATAACACCATAGCGATTACCAGTTGTGTATGGTTACAAATCTTGTTTCATCCATTCCCACTCATTAAACATATTAATTTGTATAGGTATAATTTACAAAAAATAATTTATATAAATAAATATATTAAATACTATTAATAATAAATTGTATTTTCATGTTAACCACTAAAGATTAAAAATATGAGCCATTTACCAAATTTTGTCCCTAAATTATTGTTCACATATGTCTTATTATACAGTGGTTTCAAAACAATAGTTTTCTCATGCTGTCAATATACATTGATAGTTCCTGTTTATTTAGACATTGTGGTCCCTTTGTAATGTAAATATAACGTTATGTTTTTAAAAAATGAAAAGAGTTTTATGTCCTAATTTTCTGCACCATGGATCTTCAGGTTAGCGAGCAAGCATCTAACTAACTGAGCCACCGCGGCTCCCTACGTTATTAAAGGGACAGGTCTACCATCTAATTGATCAATCGTACCTTAGCCTCAGAAACAGGAATTTTTTAGCTAAGCTAATCAGTAATAAAGTTCACAGCTCACCAACGAAATTTGAGCCTTTGAATCCACAATGACTCGTCTTTTTAACTTTCTCTATCATATATGGAAAAGACATACATAATATATAGGAATAGACAGTGAAATTCCTAGTTTGAGCTATATTTGAAGCGATTATTGTACATTTTTAGAACTTCTGAAGACAATTTACATATAAATTAAAGACCCAAATCAACGTTCGAAAAATGGCCAACGTGTCCCTTTAAATTTTTCATTAATTATTTGATGTATGAACATGGTAAATCATAGATTAATTTTGTGTTTCATTGTATACCAATATAAGGAAGAAATATTGCACATATTTTAACATGGCCTGGTATATTTCAAATTTTTCCATATTCATGTTTTGAGCTTATTATATATGACGCCATACAAGTCTTGTAACATTTACCAACTGTAATAAAATATATCTAAACTAAATAAGGACAGTGCGTAGAAAACTTAATATCATTAACTTAATACCATTTACATTATACAAAATATTTTCACTGTTAAAATAGTGCTACATGTTTCAGGTTCTGTTTTAATACTTTTATCATTTTACTAAGTAAATTAAAACAAACTGAAATAAGGGCCACTCAGTCAAAAGGATTGTAAAGAGGTTTTCTAAAAAAAATGTCTGTGTATCGCAGACACTGATAGCATCAATTTGCACCATTCCAATTTTCATTAAAATTAGTGATGTCACTAATCATACAAAAATATCAACATATGCTTTATCAGATAGGACCCTTCGCGATTACTGACGTCATCAAACATTGAGTTTTTCTAGAATTCCAGTAATGGTCTGACAAACCAGCTGAAATGAGCTAGATAAGTTCCCCATCATCTATTTGATGATCCAAAACACGAAATTTTTCAAAATCATCACTGTCGCTTTCCTCGGCATCTGATTTGTCAATGAGGACAGCCCCCATGTCACCAAATTGGTCATGGCCATTCTCTATCATTTTAAAAAGAAGGTCTTCAGTAGACACATAAATATCCTCCTCTTTGCCTACACAGTTTTCAAGTTCTTCCACATTGAGTTCCCCCTCATTGAGTTCCCCTTCGTTTTTCAGTCTCTCTTCCTGTTCCTGATCTAAACAATGTTGAAGTCCAGCACAATAATGTAATAACAACATCATCAAAGCGTCTCCTTTTTCTTCCGATTTCAGTAAATGTTGTTGAATAGCTTGTCTTTGACCCTGGTCCAATGTTTCATGAAGAGTTCTGTTCAAATCAGATTTATTTTCTGTTTCTTGGTCAATTTCTAACTGAAGTTTGGAAACCTAAAATAATGAACCATGGACATAATAAAACCATAATATAACATGAGCTTATAAAACCTTGAGTAATAATTAACGATATCTCTATATATTGTTTAAACCATATAGACGTCATAAAACCTAAATTGTAAATATAAACCACAAAAAAACTTTAGACCTGAATTATCAAGGAATCGTTAAAAACTTGAATTAAACCAAAATTGAATTAAACCAAAACTATATATAACCTACAATTTTTGAATAAAGATAAAATTTAACAATAAACCATGTAAACCCTCAAAAAAAAGATAAATTGCATAAAACCTAACGTAAAACAATAAACCATATAAAACCTAAAATTAATAAACCTCATAAAACCTAAAATTAAACAATAAATTCTAGAATGAAACGATAAACCACCTAAAACCTAAAGTAAAATAATAAAACACATAAAACTTCAAATTAAACAATAAAACCTAAAGTAAAACAATAAACCACATAAAACTTCAAATTAAACAATAAACCACATAAAACTTCAAATTAAACAATAAAACCTAAAGTAAAACAATAAACCACATAAAACTTCAAATTAAACAATAAAACCTAAAGTAAAACAATAAACCACATAAAACTTCAAATTAAACAATAAAACCTAAAGTAAAACAATAAACCACATAAAACTTCAAATTAAACAATAAACCACATAAAACTTCAAATGAAACAGTAAAACCTGAAATAAAACAAAAAGCCACATAAAACTTCAAATTAAACAATAAAACCTAAAGTAAAACAATAAACCAAATAAAACCTAAAGTAAAACAATAAACCACATAAAACTTCAAATGAAACAGTAAAACCTAAAATAAAACAAAAAGCCACATAAAACTTCAAATTAAACAATAAAACCTAAAATATCAAATATACCAAATAAAACTAAAATTAAACAAGAAACCAAAAAGCGCAAATATAAAACGATAAACCACATAAAACCTAAAGTAAAACGATAAACCACATAAAACCTAAAGTAAAACAATAAACCACATAAAACCTAAAGTAAAACGATAAACCACATAAAACCTAAAGTAAAACAATAAACCACATAAAACCTAAAATAAAACAATAAACCACATAAAACCTAAAGTAAAACAATAAAACACATAAAACTTCAAATTAAACAATAAAACCTAAAACAAAACGATAAACCAAATAAAACCTAGAATTAAACAATAAACCACATAAAACCTAAAGTAAAACAATAAAACTAAAATTAAACAATAAACCTTAATATAAAGCAATAAACCACATAAAACCTAAAGTAAAACGATAAACTACATTAAACCTAAAATAATTCTAAATGATGAAAATACTCAAATAAGTTCCACCTACCATATGATCAAGTTTATTTTTGCGTTCAGTAATAGATAAATGTGTGAATAGTTCACGACCCATCTGTTTCGCTGCTGTAACAACCATTTCATCTAAATTCTGTCCTTTAGCCCTCTTCTCATACAGTTCTTGTAAGGCAGCATTTTGTTCTGCATCAGAATCATCTGATGGTGGGTCATCTTGCTGTAAAATTCAAAAGCATAATACATGTAACTTTATTATATATAATTGCGAATACAACGCTTACTTATTCTTGAATATAACTGGAAACATTGTAATGCACCAAAAGTAGGGCTAGGCGATATTGGTTCAAGTTGATATCATGATATTAAGCATTAATATATCACGATATGGGTATATATCAATTTGATGATATTTCAATATAATTACCATAGATCACGATATGGCGATATTTCTGTATTTTTTAATCAGGCGATATTATAGGAAAGGAAATCATGAGTAACCAAAGGGGAATTAATTGTGGCATCTGTGCTGGGGCCCAATACAAGATTTTATATTCAAACAAAATGGAATTACATACTGTATATTTACTTACATTACAACAAAGAAAATTACTTGCAGTATTTAAAATTTCTTATTCACTGAAGTGAAACAGAAAAGTGACCAACATAGTATTTACATACCAATACTTTAGTAGTGCTATCACCAGCTTCTAATACAACTTTAGGTACTTTACGTAGTAATCTGGGACTAAATCTTGGTGATGGTGTTATCCCAGGCGACATCTTTACATCACTGTCTGTATTAACGTTAATATCTAGACTGGCTATAATTACAGAAAAAATTATATAATTGACATACGCTATGTTATACAGTAAAACCTTTATTAAGAGACCACTCAAGGGATTAATCCAAAATGGTCTCCTAACGAGCGTAGTTTCTTAGAAAAGAATTGGCTATAAACACAAGAACTATTTCGTTCGTGCCATTTTATATCTTTTTTAGAATGATGTAATTTACTGACAATTAATTACCAATGAACTTTAATCCCTTTTAATCTCGCCTGTATGTTAATCCACATGATGTTTATATAAGGGAGATATTGAACTGTTACAATCGCCAATTTGACTCATTTTGGCTCCAGGGCAAAAATGAAGCATTAAGCTGTGCTATAGAGGCAACATTTAAAAATGGTTTGCTTACTTGGCACATTCTTTTTAACAGGTGTTTGTTGTTGTTGTTGTGAGGGTTTGTCTTCTTTACGGAATTTACTTAATAATTTACTTTTAGTCACACCCTCTTTATATTCCTGTACTTTCTTCAGACGTGACGTTACTACAGGCATCTTCCATTCTGTATCTGGTTTACTACGACATTTAACACCATTTCTAAGATAAAGAAAAACTTGCGTTAAAAAGATGTTTCACCCAAAACTATCTTTATCTGATTAAAATCTGATCTGATTGTTTTGTTTTTGCAGTAGGTTCCTACACTCGCCATACATGATCTGATGAAATTGTTATGCAACCCATGTTCAAGGTCATCAGGATATTCAACCAATCACACAATCTGTTCAATAAAACATTTACTAATGTTGTGTGTGGAATTTCAAGATTAGCAATTTAGCATTGAAGTCTATTGACAGGCCTCTTTTGACAAAAATTTTTAATGGGCATACATAAATTTGTCAAGTTTGCCATGGAATGGAGCTCGTGTAATAGAATGCTCAAATACAAAAATGCTACGAATCAACTTACTTTGTACACAGAGTATCAGCTTGACATTTTTCTACACATTTTTTATGACAAATCATAGAACATTGTTTACACTGAAAAGCTACTTTTAACCAGATCTGAAAGATTTAAATGCATATCCCTTAGTATGTTTTCTTTTTGAATATTTTTATCAATATTCTAATTCTTGGATTGTACTGCTATTCCTTATTTCATCGTTTCATTGCTGCCAGTGGGCTTAATTTTGTTGTTTTTTGAAAATGAAATAAAATGAAATGAAATGAATGGAGTTTTACGTCCTACTTTTCTGCACCTTGTGGGCTAATGAAGACAGGCAATGCCATGCAGGGTGCCATGAGGGAAATTTTGCCAGGACAGTGGCATTAGCCTGCTCTTATTCGATTTCCAACTGTCGAGGGATCTTTAACGTGCACAACCTGTAGCCTCGCTTTAAGTTGTCAGTTGTTTGGAACTCATAAGAATACCTTAATGCCTACAGAATGAGTAAAACTGAAACATATACCCCTTTTGCACTGCAAAAGTAATTCGGTTCCATCCAGTTCTATCCAAATAACTTCTGGTTGCTTTCGCACTGGCAAAAAAACTTATTCGATTATAACAAGAAGTTATCCAGATTGAAAAATCTACCTCAAGAGGTGGATTTCGTCTGGATACGATCCAGATAAGTGGCAGTGCGAAACCAAACAAGAAGTTATCCGGATAAGTTTATCACGTGGGGTGTCACGTGTATAAACACTTCAAAATGGCTCCTGTTGGCAGGGACGTTATAATGATATTTGATGATCACAAGAAAAGGATTAATAAAGTACACGAATTGTCTAGAAAAAGAATGAATATATATCGGAAGAGGAAACAGAAAATGCTTTTGTTTTTATTTTTATATTTGTTTTTACCAGGGTGACAATCATGTGATAATGTTTTGTCACGTGACATGATGTGTTACTAAAAATAAAAAGTTATCTAGGTAACTTGACTCGGCAGTGCGAAAGTCAGATAGGATTGCAGTGCGAAAGCAACCCGAACCGAATCAAATCGAATCGAACTGAATCAGATTTTTCTATTTGGTTATAACCGAATTCAATAATTTAGTTGTGCAGTGCGAAAGGGGTATTAGAGCCTAAGATACTTAAAACAAGTCTATTGAGGCATAGTTTTTGAAAAATGTTACCTTTTTACCACAGAAATTGCAATATGTAGCTGAAGGGAATTGAGCTCCATTGAAATGATGGTTGATATCAGTTACTCTGGAAAATAGATGAGATTCAACACAATGGTAAAGCAATTTGACTATTTGGAAGTATTTGTAATTTCGGTCCAATGGGATATTTTTGGTAGCTGGATGCGGTATTTCATAAATTGTTGGTTCCGTCAGTGGTCATGAATATGATCTGTCATGAATGTTGGACAAGCTATTATTAGTTTTTCAGCTGAGACAGGTATTGCACACATACAGGTTAATGGAAATTGTTGATAATTCTTAGTAGTAACTACATAGTACTCACTCATCTACAGCTTTATTGATAGTAGTATCTCTATTGGTATCTGTTACTACACTAGGATCTAAGGGTACTTTAGTTATTGTCTGTCTTTCATTCTCATTCAAGTTATTATTATTGAACTTTACTATTAATGTCACATCACCATAACATAACTGAGAATCAAATCCTGGCAGATTCATATATTTTCCAGTTTTAGAACGACTGAAATAATATCAAGCAGATTCATATATTTTCCAGTTTTATAACAACTAAAATAATTTCAAGCAGATTCATATCTTTTCCAGTTTTAGAACAACTGAAATAATATCAAGCAAGTTCGTCTATTTTCCAGTTTTAGAACAACTGAAATTATTTCAAGCAGATTCAGATATTTTTCATTCTTAGAACGACTGAAATGATATCAAGCTTATTCAGATATTTTCCATTTTTAGAACGACTGAAATGATATCAAGCAGTTTCATATATTTTCCAGTTTTAGAACGACTGAAATAATATCAAGCAGATTCATATATTACTAGTTTTAGAACAACTGAAATAATATCAAGCAGATTCATATATGAATTCATGGGCAGGTTTATATATTTTTCTGTTTTAGAACAACTGGAGATATATACCGGTAAGACAAATTTTTTTGATTTAGAAAAATTACAAAGGAGACAAAAAAGACAAGGAGATATATAGATTTTTCTGTTTTAGAATAACTAGAAATAGACAAAGAAATTTATAAATATTCCAGTTTTAGATACACTGAAATTAGATCAAGCAGATTCACATAAATTCATGAGCAGATTTTTAGATTTGTCTGTTTTAGAGCTTCTGAAGCATAAGGCTTGAGGCTTTGTGTTCTTTTTCCTTTCTGAATGATCAAAAAATGTTCTCACCTAGCAGTAGCTTTCATTTCCCCTGGTAATAAATTAACTTTATATTTAGTTTGGCCCTCTAAAGTTAATAAACATTCTAAACATAGGTCCGATAATGGAATGTTTACCTACAATTAAAATCAATTTTCATAACAATTGGAATATTAGCTTCAAAATAGTACTGTTAATATGAGAACGACTTTGTGTAAAAGAATATATATGAATAGAATAGAATAGAATTCTACACCAATCAAACTAAGTGGTGAGAATATTGGTTTGTTGATGAAGGGTTAAGTCTTGAAGACTCATGTTCCCTTTGATACGACAACATGACTAAAGGCAGAAAATAACTCACATGTCCAACTAATAAATGTCTTTCAGGCTTAATAACTTTTTCACTCTTATCAGTTTTCTCTGGTATTTTACACCATATACAAAGGTTGAGATATCTTAATTGTTCTGTTATATCAAAATTCATTGCATGGTTCCATTTAGGATTCTGTAAAGAATATCACAATATTCATGCAACTAATCATATATCTGTTAAAGGTATACTCTCTCTTATGATGTCAAAAAATTTGAAATTGTAAAATTTGGCTTAAGTGAGTTTTTTGTTCATCAGTGGAATAACCTGGTATTATATCTATTCAACAGGTTCTCTTTATAATCCAATAAATCCATAAAATTAAGAAACAATTCATTGAACTGAGAAATTTTGAAACCCGATTTGCTTAGTTTAATGTATATATCGTGTTAATATAGAGATTTATGCTTTAGTCATGGCACTTTGTAAGTCCCAACTGATGAATTTATACTCTTATTGACCAAGTTTGAGAATTTTATAGCCCTGTTGAGGAATAATGTCTTTAATCAAAAGAATAGTTCAAAGCTATATGCATGTCAATTATGATATATGCACATATTTCAAGGCAAACTTCACTTCAAGCTAATATTGCAGTACAATTTTCAAAGACAGTTCAGATCATATACCTGACTAGATTTGACCTCCTTGGTTTTCTGCACAGTTGAAACATCATCATCACTATCACTAACTGTACCACCATCAGTTTCAGTGGAATGTACACTATCGACATCATCATTTATTAACTACAAATAGATTAAAAATTGTCATTATCACAACAATATCTTCAAACTGTACACTATCAACATAACATGTACATAATACAACATTATAATATAACATTATGACATAGTGTACCACCATCAGTTACAGTGAAGTGTACACTATCACTGAGTAGACTAATGTCATTGTTAAAATGTACACTATCAAAAATAATTATAGTCTAAAATCAAACCCTCCGCTTTTCTCAAGGATTAATGAGTTTGATGGCATTCTGTGGGATTAGAGGCAGTAGACTTGATTTCCAAACAAGGTAAAATTAATAATTGACCCTTTCTACCTTAGTAAGCTGTCCAGGATCACTATGTGTTCTGTAGCGTAATCCATGTGGAGAGCTCTCTCTTTTAAAACTGCTAGCTGGAGATTCACTGCCAATGCTTCTTTTCTTCAAAACAGGTGTACCATCCACTGTCAAATCAGTTTTAGATCTGGGTTTTTGTTGATGAGTAGGTGGACTTTGATTGATGGTGGTTTTTGGCTTATCATGAGACATTTTAATTTTTGGCTCCTCCCCATCTTGTTTAAAACTAATGCTTATAAACTCCTCCCCATTATTGTCACCGACAGCAGACTCCTCAGAAAACTCAAATTCTGCTGACTCCTTGACATTGATGTTTTCTTCCACAAATTTGAGATCAGGATTCATTTTTATCTGAGTTCGTTCCAGCCGAACCATAAACCTGAAATCAAATGATAGAGAGTCAAGCAATAACCAGGTGATTTGAAAAATCTTTGGCAATTAAAATCTCTCCTTTGCTAAGTAAAAAAAAGTACGCGCCATAATGAAATAAAAATACCAAACAAAAACTAATTGATTTGTGTTCAATAGGAAAATTTTATTACTTGAAATCTATTCCACATAAATTTGATAAAACAGTAACTTATTACTTACTTTTCCCCAGCAGTTTTGATTAGTTTGGCAGCTTGTTTTGTTGAAGATATTTTAGTTGTACCTATAGCTATTAACATGTCACCCTGCAAGTAACAGAAATATTAAACAATATCATATTTGTATACCCTACGCTACTTTGTCAATGGGTGATAAACATGAATGTTTACATCCTACTTTCTGATACAGATTGGCCTGAGAAAGATGGATCAGAAACTTTCACTGTGAAATAAAGAAAGTGTTGCCAGGATACGGTATCAGCCTGACTGTTTGCCTAGGTTTATTGTTACATCCAAACAACAAGACCCTTTACCCAGTGTCAGCACTGCATGCAGCATCACTAAGAGGGGAATCATGTTGAAGTATTCAAAGGTACTGCAATACCAAATACCAGGATCGAACCCTGATCTCCTGAGTAATGGAGTAAACATCTAACTCCCTGAGCCACCCCCTCTCTAGAAAATGACCAGATATTTTAAATCAAATTTCAAGACATAAAGACAAAAATATTAAGTCAGCCATTGTTTTGAAGTTCATATAGAGATAGCTGGTCAAAACAATCCAGGTGTGTGAATACAATTTGATACAGCTGTGTCTGACAATTATTTGAATTTTTAAACATACCTTTCTGATGTCTGCAATTGCAGCTGGAGAATCGGGAATAACGAATTCCACAATGACTGCTGTTTCATATCTGTCTAATAGTTGTTCCTAGTAAAAATATAACACTAATAAAATAAAAATAAAAACATACACTGAACAGTTGTATTAAACTACATCTCAACTTTACCATATTCTAAATGTACAGTGACAAGAACACTGATTGGTTGATGTTATTGCAGTCACCTTAACAATTGACTTAAACTAAAAAAAATACTTTTAAGCAATATTGTTTAAACCATCCATGTCATATTTTGTTAAAAAGAGAATAAAGAGTACATTCTGATAATGACATAATGTTTTTTGTATATACACTTTGTAATTTATCTCAAGTGTAAAAAAGTCTAAATGACAAGCTTTGTAATTTGTATGATGCCGACTTATCTGAACTACTCACCTCTTTAAAAGCAAGACCAACAGATTGAGCATTATTTTTATTAACTTCAATGTCATGTGTTACCCACACTCTCCTTCTAGAATTGACTAGTTCTTTATATGGTAAATAATCTACAATGAAATTTACAATCCACAATGAAGTTTAGTATGTGTCATGGTAGGACAGAATTAGAAATTAACATATTTTTGTATTGACAATAAATGACCAGCACCATGTGTCTCACACCCCTTTATCAAATTGTTTTCTGTATTTATGACAGAGGACACCACAGTCCAAATCGTAATCTGTTAATAAATATTTAGTCTGTATAATGGAAGTCTTTGTTAGCTTCAAAAAGTACGAGTAATCTTTCATTTGACAAAAAATCTGCAAATTCCTGAATTCCCTCCGAGAAGAATTCATATCAAATCAGAGATGCAGGTCAAAATTCAAAAGAGCAAGCCAATGGAGAATAATATGAACATACCAATAGATACAGAGCAATATAAAAAAGAATCTTTTGGTGTTTTAAGTAGTCTTGAACATTCTTTTACTTGAATATCCAGTCTTCCAGTGGTTATATTATGGCCATTTACTGTGAGATCTCGGAGAGGTTTTTCAAGTTCTTGTTGAAAAAAGAACGGTCTAAACCTCATTTTATAGTTTGGTAATGTATGTTTTTTTCTTATACTGCGTCTTAACTGAAAAATGACAAAATCATTTTAAATTTGAGATACACTTTGAATTGTCAAGAAATCTTTTTCTTTTGCAATATTAAATGCTAGAACTTTTGCCATATAATATGCCGGCTTCAAAATTTCTATTTTTGTAATTTGCACATAAAAACATATTGCGGTTTCATTTTGAAAAATTCATACAGGAAGCTGAGATGAGAAAAAAAAAATAATTGTGCAAAATTGAACATGTATTGATGTAGTAGTGAACCATGCTCCTTTCGCAATGGTGTATGACATCTAACATGTAACACATCGAACCGTTACTTCCACAATGAGATGTCAGATCACTGCGTATTCAACAACCATTAACCAAGCCTTCACATGAAATCTAGAAATCTTGTGTCTGGTAAAATAAATATTTTCATACTATCATTTGGATCTAATTGGTCTAAATCCTATCAAAATTAACGATATGAATAGTTGGTGGTAGAAGCAACAGTTAACGTTTAACACTGCTGGTAAGGAACATGATAGTGAGCCAGCAGAGAGCTGAATAACTCAGAAATATTCATTCTAACATGAAAACAGAACAAAAACACTTACAAAATATGTATTTTTTTAATGGACTAACCTGTGTAATGATAATATTGGCAACTTGTGGTAACTGTCGACCTTCAAATTGAGATTCTACTGCAAAATCTACTTCAGGATCCTACAAAATATGAAGGGTGTAATACAACAGACACCAGAGGTTTCTAAAAACACTGTGAACACAGTTAACACTACAACACTTAGGCTTAGAAGACTTTCTCTGAAAGTTTATGTGGATTAATCTATAAAGGTATCCTACTTCTAAGCTTTCTTATTCCTACGGAAATCAAAGGTAAATGAAATGAAATGAATGGAGTTCAATGTTCTGCTTTTCTTTTCACCAAAGAACCCGAAGGCATTTTTCCATAAAGTTCCGTTATCTACCCCTAAATGTCATAAATTATGAAAAACAAATATAATCAAATGCACGATTTGCCTTGATGTAAATATATTTTTTTATTATTATTTTTTTTTATTAATAAAATTAAAGATGACTTTGCTAGTTTGCTACAGTGTAATCCATACTTACATCATAGAAAGAGAATGACCAATGAGTATATGGTGTTCGAGTCAGCTGTAATCTAGCATAACCTTTTAGTTTTTTAAGAGTAACAGATAAATATGCTGATTTATTAAAAACTAAAAATACATCTAAAGCTATTTGAAATCCACCATCATAATCAACATCTAAACCTAAATCAATTTCCTGAAAAAAAAATTTTACCGCTTTCAACAACATGAAAAAATATGTTTATCAGTAGGTACTTTACTATTTCATTACCCAAATTTTCTAAATTTATACTTTTTGACACCCAAACCATTTGAATGACTCTGCTAGGCATGCTTTCGACTTCAATTAAATGAAATTAATTGATTAAAATAATGTTATTACTTTAATTACCTCTAGTTTATCCCCATTTTTTACAATATTTTTTATACTAACATTATTTACAATAGGAAATGTTGTGCCCAAATTAAAATCACGAATCTGAAATTTGAAAAGATTACATAAGACACTATGGGCCATATACAGCGCTCTTACCTTGACTAAAGTTGAACTTTGGCTAAAGACGAACATTACAAAGATAAGATTAAGGCTTTCATTTTCTACATTTGATACTGAAATTTAAGCACGGCTTTTGTAAAGATCGACCGGTGCATACCTAAAGTTCGACTTAAGTCTAACTTTAGTCAAAGTTTAGGTTAAGTACGAGCGCTGCATATGGCCCTTTATATACCTGTTTGATCACAACACATGGGTGCGAGCTGGTCATAGGTGTAAATATGTAAGCACATTATATCAAGATAATGTATATATAAACATAATATCAATTTAATGAGGATTCAGACAGCATCAGTGGGGATATTGAAAAATGTTCTCCGACATCTGTGGAGATGCAGGCTGAAATAAATCAGTTGTCTGAAGAACTCATAGTGAGTAACAACATGTTTTAAGTTCTGTTTTAATATTTCTATGTCTTTTGACTTACAATAATTTGATCTAAAAATTTTCCTGATGTTGTTTGTAGAACTTCTTCGAATTCTTTGTTCATTTTCTTCATAACAAACCTAGAATAAAGAGAGAAGCAGAATTATAAAGGCGTTAAAGAATTAAAACAAATGGCAAAAAATTAAATACAAGCTTAAAGATGGGTTTCCTTATTTTTTAGTGTCAAATTAAGCAAATTATTTTATTACTTGATGTTTCTAATGAATAATCATGTATTCTTAATCATATCATTATGCTCTTATTGCATATAATTAAGAGTTTTAACCAATCATAAATATCCATGTATGTACAGTCTGGAAAAAAAAAAAAAATTTTAATCTTTCTTAAATTGTCAATCATTGGAATTCTGCTGGTAATTCTCTTTCAATTTAGCTAATTATGAATTAATTATGGACATGTGAGACAAACTGTCATTTTTCCAACTTATTAGAACACCTCTACTTTCTATTCATATAAGTATTATGAGGGAAACCATCTTTAACACTCTTTTTTAAACAAGCACCACCACTTACAAGTTTGAAAATGTAATTTCAGAAAAATTAGAACAAATTATTACATCAATGAGGTCACATGAATTTTGCAGTGCTGAAATATAACCATAGATGTTGGACAAAAAAATGTAATGACACAAATACACAATAAAAGCTTTAATTGGGCAGATGCATCATTTTGGGGAGTTGATTTGAGTTTTGAATATATGGAAATAGTCTTCAGAAATTTATGAAAATTGCATAATTTCCCTCAAAAATATCTTTTTTATATTTTTTTTGGTATTTCTATCAGCTTAGTTGTCTTTTCTATATATGGCAGTGTGTCAAAAGACGACATCCTTTTAACTAAACACTGATAATTCTAGACACACATTGATTTGAAGACTGAAATTTCGACAGTTGGCTGTGAACACTATTACTGATTGGCTTAGTTTAAAATTTCTGTTTCTGAGACTAAAGTATGATTGGTCAAAAAATAGAGCATTTGTCTTTTTATTGTTTTATTTGTTTTACCAATACACATATACATTCTTTAAAAATGAGAAAAATTGAATAACCAAAAAGTTGTTAGATGCAACAAGGTTTTTCTACAAATAAAAAATTTTGAAATTTTCATTAGTAAGCTATTTGAGATGTCATTTATATTGAACAGTCACTTGTTAAAAAGTGAAACTAAACAATAGGCTTATAACGAATACACCATTTGTTCAAATCTATATAGCCTAATCAGTACAGGTAAGCTTACTTATTGGATTTTTTTGCCATGATTATACCAATCAGATATGGGTTGGATAAGTTCATTTAACAACTGAAATGGTCAATGTATCTCTATTAATAATTGATATTTAACGTAATAGTAAGTATTAATAATAAGTACTGGTGTGTTATGAACTATGAATTCTAGAATTACATGCTGGTAAAGAGCTAATGAAATACTTAGAAATCTTTTCAAATACGAACTTTTACATCTATCACAATACAATTGATATATGGAGTACTATAACAGAGAAAATATTTTATATCTGCCTTAAAAAATTAATATTTTATTAATTGAACCCTAAAATATCCTTTTCCATCAGAAAATTTTCTCACCAATATTTACTACATATTTACTACAACTGCTATTCTGAAACTGAGCCAGAACTAACTCTGAATATCAATAACCAAATGTGATGTCACCCAAATTTCAGTGTCATTAAATCTAACACTTGTTTTGGTTTTAATTTTTCAATAAGCAAAATGCCAATTCTGGAGAGAATAAAAATTTGATCAGTTAAAGCAGACGTCATCGAGTAAGGTCAAAATGTTAATTTTACGAACATTCAAGAGGGCTCTTAACTGAAATAACTATATTAAGAATAAAACCTAATAAAAATAAAATGAATGGATGTTTGGTCAATTCTTTTTTGACCATGGCTATTCACACTGTGACGTACAACATATGACCATCCCTTAAAAGATCACTTTAAAGCATTCTTGACAATCAATCACATATCGAAATAATCCGTTATCGTTGATATGAATTTATAATTTCGGTTATTGATTATCAAACTCTATAATCGTATATATGTTAAAGTTACATTTTCTCCCCTGTACCTGTTAACATGTAGAAATCTCTTCCACATAGGTTCCCTTCAGCACAATAATCTATAATATCTCAAAACAAGAATTTATTTGGAATTTTAACATGTTTTTACTTAGGTATTTACAAGGATTTCCATTAAAATTATTATTGATTAATGGCCTGCCAATGATAATCGATCTCGTATTTGGTAGTCGATACCCAGCCCTAGTCAAAGTGGTCATTTTTTGCTTTTGTAAGCTTGACCATTGCTAAATTTACCTTCTGACTTGTGGAGTATCTCTCAGTTCTTGAAATAAATATTGTGATAGGATATTGAACCAAAGACATGACTGTTTCTTCTCTAACTCTTCTTTATCTTGTAATTTTTCCTTTAAGATCTGAAATAATTGTTAAAATCTTTTAAAAAATTGTGTGACTCAGGCAGTCACTTTCCACCTCAATTTTTTCTAGCTCAGTAACTTGCCATAATGATAGAAAACATGTTGATTAAATCATATTTAGAAGGAAATGATCATTACTAATTGTTTTTCAGCAATAACTTATATATTGTAGCGTATCGGAACTTGTGCTGAATAGTGCCAATCAAACCAAATATAGTAATATGATACATGTCAATGAAACAATAGAATTTTACAAAAAAGTATGATTATATCGAGAAACAAAAGGAATATATAAGAAATATTTTATGTGTTTAAAGGAAATCTACGTCTTAGATTGTACATAAAATTTAAGAATTTTAAACTTGGATAATAAGAGCAAATATTCATAAGTAGATATACCTTGTGTAATAAATAACATAACAGGATCCTTATATAATCTGATAAATCAAAAAAACTTAGTAATTATCCATAAATATGCATTTAACAATTGAAAAACGCTTAATATTAAGATTGGGCATTTTTCAATACCGGTAATTACTTAAATTTTATGAATTTTCCAATTTTCCAGGGATTATGACACCAGGTAAGTTCACTGATGAATATATGTATCATATTGACCATTCTTGAGAATTTAACTAAGACGTAGTATCACTTAAAGTTTTATTGATTTTTTATAATCAGAGCCTACTCATTGCAGACTTACTTTCACTGTTTTCACATTCATGTTCATGAATGGAACTTCTACCAAAATCTTTTGCATATTAGATACAGTAGTCTATCTATATATAGCCATATTCATAAGTTAAAAACATGTTTGTTGCAACGCAAAAAATCGATTTGAGACGATACCAAGCCATATGAGCACTGGGGCATGTCATATCGTGATGGATTGATTCTAATGAGTAAGTTCACTAAGCTTACTGATTTAGAACATAAACAGATTGAACTCCATGATAAAAAATAGATAAGATAACATTTAACCTTGTTCACTATTCTTCACAATTTCACTTAAAGATATGATCAATTCTTTCTTCTATTATCCAAAAGCTTGATTTTAATGCCATAACCATTTAAAAAGTTTACGTAAACTTTTTAAGTTAGCAATTGGTTTAGGTCAATGAATGAAAACTATTGTAAGGATTTAAGCAAAATAAACACCTAATGGTTGAGAATAAGGCCCATGTCTCCTACTTATTCTGAAGGTTTTAACTAAAAAGATCGATCCAAAATTTGTAATTAATCCTTGTAAAACAAATTCAGTTTGATCAAGCAGATACCGTACCTATAAGATACCCTTAAGATCAAGATCATTAATAACACTTTTGCAATTTTCCATCCCGACATATGTCATAACTAAGATAACAATGAAATTTGAAAGATATTCACCTTTGGCAATTTAACAGGTGGAAACTGTTCAACAGTTGGTTTATCTAAAATTGGCAGGCCATTAAATCTTTTATAAAACCACAAAAACTGAACTAATATTGTTAGGATTATACCCAAAATAAAAGAGCATAATATCACAGTAATCATATTCAAAAAAACTCCACTCTGCTGTCTTGTATCAGCACAGTCATCGATAATTATGAATGCTAAACGTCATCTGTCAAAAATAATAACAAAACAAAACAAACGCAAATTATGGACATTTGGTCTAGTACTACGACGGTTTACAAAATGATTTTAATCCTGAAGAGTCCGTTAACACATTATTTCCAAGTAATATACTTTCCATCTGTGAATAACTTAAATATCACAGACAAACACAATAAAAACATTGAAAAATGACTTCGTCTACTTGTTCCGTGGAAGACGCCATTTTAATTTTCAACTTGTCAAGAGTTATGTCCCTTAACAAAGAAATTTAATGAATGTGAACAAGAAATGACTATTTCTGTTTACATGTATATATTTTTGTACATTATAATATCAATATCTTGAAAATCGATGTAACCCGGTTTTATTGACTCGGTGCTTAACTAAGAGTCCCCAAATGTTTTTAATAGCATTTAATAGATAAGATTTCAATCTAGTTTGTATGTAAATTTCACCATTCTATCCCTTCTGGTTTGACCGCGGCCAAGCTTCAAAGTTTGGATTTTTCAAAGTAGTTAAAATTATTCAAGTACCACCGGTAGCTTACAAAATCCATTTTTGGGTCTGTTTTTTTTTTGCCTTTAAATTCCATGTAACCTGTTTTTTTTTACTCGATGCTTCCCTTGCTGTCCCCCAATGTACATAGAAGTAAATTCTGAGCACTTTTTTTTTGAGGAAAGTGCTAAAACATCCCTTTTATCATGGACAAAATTAAAACGACCAGTGCTTCCAAAGTAAGGCAGATATGGAATCGCGGTTTGTAGCATTAGAAAGCTAAGATTTCAATCTGGTCTGTGTGTAAATATCATCATCATATCTCCACAAAGTCAAAATTGGCAAATTTCAACAGGTAGCTACCTGAGGTAGGGTCTACCGTACCAAAATCCAATTTTGGGTCGAAGTTTTCGGGTCTCGGAAATCGTTGTAACTCGGTTTTTTGGACTCGGTGCTTCTCTAGCTCTCCCCCAATGTGCATAAAAGTGAATTCTGAGCACTTTTTTTTTTGCGGAAAAGTGCCAAAAAATCCGGTTTTTCATGGACAAAACTAAAACGCTCAGTGCTTCCAAAGTAAGGCAGATATGGAATCGCGGTTTGTGGCATTGCAAAGCTAAGATTTCAAACTAGTACCTGTCAAAATTTCATCATCCTATCTCAACTGGTTTGACCGTGGTGAAGCTGCAAAATTTGGATTTTCAAAAAAGGCAAAATTGGCAAATTTCAACAGGTAGCTACCTGTGGTACCAAAATCCATTTTTGGGTCGAATTTTTTTGGTCTCGGAAATCGATGTAACCTGGTTTTTTGGACTCGGTGCTTCTCTAGCTCTCCCCCAATGTGCATAAAAGTGAATTCTGAGCACTTTTTTTTTTTGCGGAAAAGTGCCAAAAAATCCGGTTTTTCATAGACAAAACTAAAACGCTCAGTGCTTCCAAAGTAAGGCAGATATGGAATCGCGGTTTGTGGCATTGCAAAGCTAAGATTTCAAACTAGTAACTGTCAAAATTTCATCATCCTATCTCAACTGGTTTGACCGTGGTGAAGCTGCAAAATTTGGATTTTCAAAAAAGGCAAAATTGGCAAATTTCAACAGGTAGCTACCTTTGGTACCAAAATCCATTTTTGGGTCGAATTT